TTGTATTTTTGAAGTATTAAGAATCATAGAGTTTCATGTAAGAAGAAAAGAATGAGACTTTATGAAAAATCTTCAAAGCTAATATGAATTTTTAAAGTGAAGGAAAATAAGAAGTTTTGAATTTAAGAATAAGATAGTGAAGTCCAAAATTATTAAAGGCTATCCAAATATAATAATCCTCACATGAAAAATAAACAAAAAAAGGAAAAAGAAAAAGAAAAAGAAAAGAAAAATATGTGAGGATAAGCTTGAGGGAATGCCTAATAAAAAACTGGCTTCACTTGATTCAACTTGAGGAAAAAGACTTTATTACATTTTCTAAACTTGTATTTGAGTATTAGCATCGTTACTAATAAAGTTTTCATGAAATTATTTTTCATATGGATATTGTTGTATCTTCGATAATGATAAATTACAATTCTTCTTGAAATGAAGGAGATTCAAAATTCTTAGACTTAATTATTGAGTGTTCTTATACTTGTAGATTTAACCTAAGTTGTTAAAAGTTTTTCTTAAGTTATACTATTATATTTATTAAAACAAATTATAGAAGTTCATAAGTTAATGTCTACCATAAGTCATATTTTTATCTAGAAAAATGGTCAATTGAGGACAAGTAACATTATGTTTAGGGAATTCTCCTATTTTATTTATATATTTTATGCTTATTTTGGTGATATTACACTTTTAAAAAAGGTATCAATCTTTGGCATTTGGAGCAAAAAGTAGCAAAAAGGAGGAAATTTGGACCCAAAATAGAAATTTTCATGATCTTGGCTCCAGAGGCGCCATTTTCCAGAGAGCTGGCGCCAAAGGCACTGGAAACTAGCACCAGAGAAGCCATTTTACAGAGAGCTAGAGCCAAAGGCACCCGAAACTAGCACCAGAGGCTCCATTTTACAGAGAAGCGGCGCTAGAATCTAGAGAACAACGCGTACTTCATTAGGTTGGTAGCAGAGGCGCCAGAGATGAATTAAGACGAAGTAAGGCGGGTTGTCACTATTTTTGGCTATTTTTGAAGGCTCTAAACAATTGAAACCTCCCATGGAGTGGTTCAATGCATCTAGATACTTTGCAAAACGCCAGAGATGAATTAAGACGAAGTAAGACGGGTTGTCACTATTTTTGGCTATTTTTGAAGGCTTTAAACAATTGAAACCTCCCATGGAGTGGTTCAATGAATCTAGATACTTTGCAAAGGCTCTTTAATGAAGAGATATGTCTCTTCAATAAAGGGACTTGTCTCTTGGTGTTAAAAGATGTGACTTTTGGGGGAAAAAATTAAAGCAAATTTTGAATTCCTTTTGAAAGAAATATGGCCCTAATTAAAAAGGAGAAGAGTCTAGAGAAGAAAGGGGGCGTGAGATAGAGAGGAAATTTTTGGTGTGAGAGAAGTCATGGAGAAGAGAGGATTTACTTCTAGGGTTGTAAAAAAAGAGGGAAGGTGAGAGATTTCTTCTTCATTACACTTCTAAGAGAGAATTGAGTGTGGTTGTAAAGAGAGAAAGTGCTTAAAGGGAACTGCTTAAAGGGAACTTCTAAAGGGAACTTCTAGGGCTTTGCTTCAGAAGGAGTGTGAGATAAATTTTATTTATTTCCTACTTTCTTTTGTAATCTTATTTTATATATGAAATCTGTGTTTTGTCATATCTATCTCATGAATTCTGAGTAGTCTTCGTTATCTTTCTCTCTACAATGAGATATGTTTTTGTGAAGATTTGATTTTATTTTATACAGTTTTAAATGTCAATAATTTTTTATGATTCGAACTCTGATCTTCATTTATTTTTGAATTTGTCCAATTGAAATGTTAAAATGTGTTTAGAAACATATGTTTTAAAAATGCTATAATTTCGACAACATGGGGAGAATAACATTTGATTTCATGCATGGACATTAAAGATAGATTGTTAGTCGTCATGCGAGGGAGAAGTGTGAGCTCTGGAGTGGCAGCTAATATCTTCTCAACTTAATCACAGATTTAGGAACCAAACTCTGGATTAATCAATGTTCTTTATACACTCTCAAAGATTAAAGAATAGGATTGCTCCTATTTAGCACAATATAATTTTATATGTATTCTAAGTGATTTTAATTTCTTCACACTTCATAAACTCATTGTAAAGGGGAATGATATTTTCTTAAATTGGAACCATTCGTTACAAAATTTTTTTAGTTTTCATAAATTTATTTTTGACGTTTAACAATTAGTTAGTTATCTTAGTTTTTTTAACTGCATTTCATTTAGCGCACATTAAATTTACTTTAGATTTTTTTTGCTTACTTAAGTTTTATAGTTTAAATATTGTGTTTTTGGTTATAACCATAAGAATTTCCAACTCCCTATAGGATCAATACTTATGACTCCATTAGATCCCTTTATTACTTGAGTGATACATATAATTGCGTTATTATTACGGGGGTTGAAATCTTGACGATTTTAAAAGATAAATATATTTATACTGAATTTATTTTTATTGGGATTGAGCTACATATTTACTATTAGTCTTGTTGTGTGTGTATTGTAATATTGAAAGATTTTTACAATGTACATCACTGAAATCGACCATCACATCAACATACGAAGGTATGTTATCTGAAGAAGTGGGCACATCTTTTGTAATTTTGAGATATGTAAAATGTTGTAATTCAGTAATTGAAGAGGTGGATGCGAGTGACAGCTAATATCTTCTCAACTTAATCACAGATTTAGAAACCAAACTCTGGATTAATCAATGTTCTTTATACACTCTCAAAGATTAAAGAATAGGATTGCTCCTATTTAGCACAATATAATTTATATGTATTCTAAATGATTTTAATTTCTTCACACTTCATAAACTCATTGTAAAGGGGAATGATATTTCCTTAAATTGTAACTCTTTATTACAAAATTTTGTCTAGTTTTCATAAATTTACTTTTGAGGTTTAACAATTAGTTAGTTAACTTAGTTCTTTTAACTACATTTCATTTAGCGCACATTAAATTTACTTTAGATTTGTTTTGCTTACTTAATTTTTATAGTCTAAATATTGTGTTTTTTGTTAAAACCATAAGAATTTCCAACTCCCTGTGGGATCAATACTTATGACTCCATTAGATCCCTTTATTACTTGAGTGATACATATAATTGCGTTATTATTACGGGGGTTGAAATCTTGACGATTTTAAAAGATAAATATATTTATACTGAATTTATTTTTATTGGGATTGAGCTACATATTTACTATTAGTCTTGTTGTGTGTGTATTGTAATATTGAAAGATTTTTACAATGTACATCACTGAAATCGACCATCACATCAACATACGAAGGTATGTTATCTGAAGAAGTGGGCACATCTTTTGTAATTTTGAGATATGTAAAATGTTGTAATTCAGTAATTGAAGAGGTGGATGCGAGTGACAGCTAATATCTTCTCAACTTAATCACAGATTTAGAAACCAAACTCTGGATTAATCAATGTTCTTTATACACTCTCAAAGATTAAAGAATAGGATTGCTCCTATTTAGCACAATATAATTTATATGTATTCTAAATGATTTTAATTTCTTCACACTTCATAAACTCATTGTAAAGGGGAATGATATTTTCTTAAATTGTAACTCTTTATTACAAAATTTTGTCTAGTTTTCATAAATTTACTTTTGAGGTTTAACAATTAGTCAGTTAACTTAGTTCTTTTAACTACATTTCATTTAGCGCACATTAAATTTACTTTAGATTTGTTTTGCTTACTTAATTTTTATAGTCTAAATATTGTGTTTTTTGTTAAAACCATAAGAATTTCCAACTCCCTGTGGGATCAATACTTATGACTCCATTAGATCCCTTTATTACTTGAGTGATACTTATAATTGCGTTATTATTACGGGGTTGACATCTTGAAGATTTTAAAAGATAAATATATTTATACTGAATTTATTTTTATTGGGATTGAACTACATATTTACTATTAGTCTTGTTGCGTGTGTATTGTAATATTGAAAGATTTTTTACAGTGCACATCACTGAAATCGACCATCACATCAGCATACGAAGGTATGTTATTTGAAGAAGTGGGCACTTCATTTGTAATTTTGAGATATGTAAAATGTTGTAATTCATTAATTGAAGAGGTGGATGCCTCTTTTATAAACGAAGAAGCAGATTCTTCTTTTGTAATTTTGAGATTTGCAAAATTTCAAAGTCTTCGTAATTTAGTAGTTGAAGGTAATTCATCATCCTGGATTTCTCTAGTCAGGAAATTTTTTACCTTTCATAATTCCCTTAGAATGTTGTTTCCATAGACAATCTCACATTCTAACTTTCACATTTGTAATTCAAGGATTTTTAAGCAATTGTGTAAGTCATTATCAGCATCACTGGTTATGTCATACATCTCCATATTTTCAGTGTCTGCATTTATTTTTTGCATAATTCATGTGTCAGAATATCAGCAAGAGAACTTTTATTTCACTTGAATTACTCTACATCAAAAGTTTATGAAGAAAACGAACTTTGACATTTTATTAGTCTTTTGTTGGGCAAACAATCTATGATTTTTACTTTAATAAATGAAATATCAGTCTTGTTGTTTGTTCTAATTAAAAAAGTCGCATTTAGAAATGTTTCAAATTCTTGATTATTTTTTTAATTCCAATAACTCCTTTTCATTAATATGATAAATTTGTTCTATGGTTGTGTACTGTCAGCACTATTTTGGGTTGTTGGTATGGAGTTATCTGTTGGAAGCTATCGGTCGCCGGAATCGAAATTTCGTCGCCCGCTTCGAAAAGACATTTAATTTACATATATATATATATATATATATATTAAAAAAAAAGGAGTTATCTATTGCTCCTTACATGTTAAACAAACAATTGAGTTACAAAACAGAAGGGTTAGATCACTAAACCTACACCCAGATCTCATACCCCATATAGTTCTTACAACCATGCTCACAAAATGAAAGAAGGAAATCTAAGTAAAACCTTGTATGTATCCCCCTGACAGTAATCAATCTCTACAATGAAGATAAGGAATGGATAAGGTGTCTTCATGTAGTAGGAGAGCTAACTTATTAGGAGGTATAGTCCCTACAGCAATCTCTTCAGTTTCCTTCCCCCTGATTGCCAAACTGTGTGCTGGAGTGTTTCCTTCTCTAAGTATGTGTTGGAAATGCACATCAAACTTAATCAACAGTCTTTTAATATTATTGTGCCACCAAACAAGGTTCCATGGAGCAGCTTCCACATTATTCAAAATTTTGATGAAGCTACTGGAATCAGATTCAATTACTAATTTAGAGATGTTACATTGCTTGGAAAGGTATATAGCCCAGAAGATGGCTATCATTTCAGTTTCTAGTGCATCATTTTCCCAAGTAGGGGATGAAATGTAGAAAATATATTTTCCTAGGGAGTTCCTAATAACTCCTCCCACACCAGCAGCCTCCTTAGAGAAACTTCCATCAATATTAGCCTTCAGCCATCCCATAAGTGGGGCGGTCCAAAGGACCAAAGTAGGCTTGCTTACTTTCATATTGATCCCATTGGGCATCCAAATCTAGAAAATATTGGGGAATTTCTGATGCATTATAATCTTTTGCAGATAGGAAGTGCAATTTAAAACCACTACCTTTTCCATAGGTTTCATACTTTCATACTTAACTTGATTTCTGCACATCTAAATGAACCATGCCACAACACAAGGAATGATTATCATTTTAGCTTCCAGCTACTCCTTCCAACAATACAAAAGGTTCTGCTAACTGACATTCAGAGTATCGATGCTGAGCTAATTCAACAGACCAGACCAAACCCTTTGGGAGAAAGTACAGGAAAAAAATAAATGTTCCAGACTTTCTTCATTCTTGCTACACAGCCAGCAGCAAGAGGGACCCCTATGCCCTTTCAATTTCAAAATATCATCACATGGTAGAAAAGAATTCCACAGCCTCCAGCAAAAAAAAGGACATAAAAGGTGTCAACCACTTCCCCCAAATAAATTTCCCCCACATAACAGGTTGCCAATGAAACAATTGCTGGAAAATGTAAGCTGAAAATTTCTATGAGGGAGCCTGTTTAGTGATCATTCTATCTTTTTCTCCAGGATTGATTTTAGTTTTCTTCACCCAATACATTTGCTCTTCAGTTAAGTTAGTTTTCAGCAAATTACAATTCTATTGATTTTCAGTCCAAAATTCCTTCACTTTAGTTCCAGAGTTTGGATTGGAGGTGTCAAACATTCCAAATTCATTTATCTAGCTAGAAATTAATTTGTCCTTCTCCAAGTTCCAAAATAAACAGATCCTCAGCTTTATGCCTCACCTCCATAAGTTTAGTCCAAAGCCTGGAATCCCCAACTTTTTTCTCAGCCAAGTTAGGGTGAACAGTCCTGCAGTATTTCCCCTTCATAAACAAAGCCCCACGACTATC